TTCCAGGCTTGCGCCCGCCAGGTTTGGGTCTTTGGTCGTTTTCACTAAACCACGTTTTACTCTAGGGGTCTCTGTCCATCCCCGAGTTTTCGTTTTGATGCCGTTCTGCAGCAGCGGCGGCACGAAGACACGCCGAGGGCCAACGACGTCACAACGGAGTGGGCGGCGCGCCCGGGGGGGGGAAATGAGAAGGCGCAGGCCTCCTCGGAGGGCGGCGGGGCTTCTCGGAAGCCTCCTGGCCCTTCTGAGGTGTTCTCCGTGTCTCCGGGGGCGGCTCAGAAGCCCTCAGAATGCCTGGGGCCTTTTCGGGCCCTCCTGGAGGAGGCCCGCACCTTCTTTCGGTGTCGGCCCAGCATGCCTCAGGGGCGACGCGTGCAGCGATAAGTTTTATAGTGCATGCGTCGTGGCGGGCGCTTTCTGGCCACACCGCTCGGGGAGCGATCTGCTACAAGATGGGTATACTAGAAGTTCGGGTCCGACGCGCGCCTCCGAGGAGGACATGTAGTTTTAGTATGACTCCGGACGTCCCATTCTCACCTCCATCCAAGGCCCGCGCCACCGAGTTCAGCTCGCGCCCTGGCGGGTGGTGCCCCGAGCGGGCAGCCGACATGGTTTTTGTTCCCAGTGCCTGGCACCTCGAGACGCGCAGGAGGGCAAACGTGGGAGCTTCGCCCTCCCGTCCCCTCCTGGCGCAGGGATGGGCATGAGGAAGAGGAGGAGGAGGATCAGTACACGGAGGAGGAGCAGAAAGAGGAGGAGGAGGAATAGGAGGAGGAGGAGGAGCAGGAGGAGGAGGAGGAGGAGGAATAGGAATAGGAGGAGGAGGAGGAGGAGGAGGAGGAGGAGGAGGAGGAGGAGGAGGAGGAGGAGGAGGGGGAGGGGGAGGGGAGGAGGAGGAGGAAAAGGAGGATGTATTTTTTCTTTTCGTCGAAAATCCCCCTGCAGGGGGACAGGCCCGACGTAAGACTGGGAGGACGACGAGGATGACGTCGACCAGCATCCGCCCAGAGTCTGTCTCCAATCCCCTTCCGGAGTCCATCTTTGCCAGCGTTCCGAGCCACGTCCACCCGTGGCGGCGAGAACTTCCAGAAGCGTCGTCGAACGGTGACGTTCTCGATTCTACCCAGAATATTTGGGGGCCTCCGAGACGACGACGACGTCGATCGAGCGGAGGCGGAGGAATGGGGCGTGCTACGAGCTCGTGGCAGAGCTTGGTGCCACATGTTGCTGAGGAGGGCGGCGACCAGTGTGAACCAAAGACGCTTCCATGGTGTTGAAAGAAACCGTCCCTCTATGTTCTTTCTACATACGTCCCTGCAACAATGCTTTGTTCATTGCGGGAATTGCTCGATTGGAAAGTTTCAGTCGTGCGAAGACACATTTTTGGGGACTTCACCGTCACGAATCAACGTGACTGCTGCGCCCTGGCAATCCTAAGTCGTGGCAGAAAAACATTCCTGGGACTTCGCTGCGAAACATCTTCGCAGTTGCGTCCTTACAGTTCTAAACCGTGCCAGAGCACCGTTTTGGGGATTTCAGCCATTCGAGTATGTATGACGACTGTGTGGCGCTACGCGCTAAGGCGAACGTCTCATTTCGACAAGGTACCGCCCTCCATTTTGAACTTGCTGTAAACATTCAAGACGAGTGTGCGCGGCGTCAAGGCGGGAGCCACATGTTGAAAACCAGCCGCCCTCCGTTCTTGTAGCTATTGCAGACGTTTGAGACGAATGTGCGCGGCGGTGAGGCGATAGCCTCATTTTGAAACAACGCCGCGCTCCATCTTCGAGGATCCTGCAACTCTCAAGCTTCTGGATCATAAGGTGGCGGGGAAGTCTCGGACGAGACGTGCGGCGGCCCGCCCCGCCGAAACGTCTGGGGGTGCGACGGGGGGGAAGTGATTGGCCAGGAGAGAGGATGGAGGAGGAGCCAGAGAGTACGGAGGAGGAGGAGGAGGAGGAGGAGGAGGAGGAGGAGGAGGAGGAGGAGGATGGAGGAGAGAGGATGGAGGAGGATGGAGGATGGAGGATGGAGGAGAGAGGATGGAGGAGGATGGAGGATGGAGGAGGAGCAGAGTGTCAGGAGCGAGAGTACGGTTCCAGTCAGCCAGGTCGCGCGAGGCAGCGGGTCTCGCCCATTCCCACCCCCCCCTCCCATGAGATACCAGTGGAGGCCCAGGCCAAGCAGCACCCTGGCTTGCCTCCAGGGTGCCCTGGGCTTCTCCTGGATGGCGAGGAGTTTGCCAAGGAGCGCGCGGCGTTCCCATTTCAGAATCGATGGACGCCCTGGGGTCTCAGGGTTGGGGCCCCCACTGTATTCAAGAGTAGTCCGGGGACGATGTTTCGACTATTTCTGACCAGTTTTGAGTCTCCGCTTGCCTGTGTTGTCTCTTGCGTCCAACATCCGCCTGCAGGCGGACGTGCCCGACCTGAGGCTAAACGGTGTCTGGGCGGTGTCGTGGGCGGCACCAGCGGCGCAACCCGATGCTGGGACTGGAACGCGGTCCCATCTTTCGGCGGCGAGCGAGGGGGGGAAGTGAGAAGGAGAAGGCCCTCTCAGAAGGCGGCGGGACTTCTCAGAAGCCGTCGCGCCTCTGAGAAGTGTTCTTTGTCTTCGGGGAAGGCTCAGACAACTTCTCAGTCGGCGGTGGGACTTCCGAGCCTTCTGAGAAGGCCAGCCCCTTCTCACTTCCCCCTCTCGCTCGCCGCCTGAGGATCCACCCTTCGAAACCCGAAGGGGACGGCCTAATATACCCATCCAGGGGGGTAGATCTGCCAGTGGGGCCCAGGCTACGCCGCTGGGGATGGGGGTCGGATACACGATGCTCAGACGAAGCACCACGGCGCCAACATCGAAGAGCGGACTTCGTTCGGAAAACGCTGGGATGGGCCTTGACTATCCCGGAGGAGTTCGCTCCGGATTTCGGAGTGAATATCGTGCGGACTTGTCTGTCCAGGAAGGAAGACCACAAAGCATCCACGTGAGATTCGCTTCGTTTTTCGCTCTCCGTTTTGGGGTCCTGCACTGCCAGAACACGCAAGAAGCCGCTGCAGCACGTCTGCAAGGTCGGTGCAGTGAGAAACACGCGCCGCGCCGAAACAGCACTGCCCAGTGAGAACTTCAATCTCGCCCGCTCTCGCGCGGCCCCGCCGCCGCTGCCGCTCTCGCACGATACGGCGAGAGCAAGACCCGCGCCGCGCCCACGCGAGAATGCGACTTCCATGCGAGGCCTCCTCGTCCTCCTCTTCCTCTTCTTTATCCTCCTCCTCCTCCTCCTCCTCTTCCTGCTATTCCCCCTCCTCCTCCTCCTCCTCCTCCTCCTCCTCCTCCTCCTCCTCCTCCTCCTCCTCCTCCTCCTCCTCCTCCTCCTCCTCCTCCTCTACCTCCTCCCCCTCCTCCTCCACCTCCTCCTCCCCCTCTTCCTCCTCCTCCTCCTCCTCCTCCTCCTCCTCCTCCTCCTCCTCCTCCACCCTCCTTCTCCGTAGCTTTGGGCCAGAGAGACGACTCGCCCGCTCACGCGCAGCACGGCACCCCAACGACCAGGCGGGACACGAGTGTGCGCCTCACCTGGGCGGGGGCGCGACCATCGGGCGGCACAGGTGCGGCGCCGAGGCGAGAACGGCAGCCTTCGTCCGCTCGTTCGTGGACGAAGTTCATTCGTGGACGAATGTCAGGGGGGAAACACGTACCACTACCGCTACAGGCGGCCCAGATCAGTAGGTCGACCCTGCCAGATCAAGGGTATCCTCGTGTCCTGCGTCTCGCGACCCATGTCTTCCTACATTCCTGTGGCAATGTGACCCTCGGACGGGTCTTGTGTCCTCTCGCGTGTCCTGTCCAATCGAGTCCGACCGTACCGCTACGCTTCACCGTGCTTGCCATTTTGGGCCTCCTGGGAGACCCCCGTGGTCACGGCTGGTTTCGCACCGGAACTCTGGTCCGCACGCACTCCAGGGAGCAGCGGCCTCGGTGCCTGTTGACCGCAGCGGCGAGTGGGCGGGCGAAGAGGCCGCTTCCAGGCAGAGCCGAGGCGCGAGCGACGCTGCGCCCCTGCAGCGAGGGAGGTGCGCCCCGTCCCGCTCTTGCCACGCCTTCTTCGGGGGTGGACAGAACCCCCAACACTGACGCGTCGATTGGTGAATTGTCCTTTTTCGGTTCTCGAGAGGGCGCCGCGGCCGTTATTTTCCAGGCTCGCGCCCGCCAGGTTTGGGCCTCAGGTCGTTTTCACTAAACCACGTTTTACTAAAGGGAGGTCTGTCCATCCCCGACTTCTGTGGCACCGTCGACGGCAAAGCGTCCGGACTGGAAAAGGAGGACGCAGCGCACTGCGCACAGTCGGGGCGCTGAAGAAGGAACCCTTTCCGCTGGGGCGGGGCTCCGCGTTTCTTAGCTGTTTCACAGTTTGCCTTCGAGTTTCCTGAGACTTTTCACGGGAAATCGAAGTTCAATGTGTGGAGAGAAAGGGCATCGTTCCTTATTTCGGGTTCCTTAGGTCAACGCCCCGACTGTATTGTTTTTGACGGGCAGTATGAAGCGGATGCACCCCCTTCTCTGCCGGCCAGGTGGCCTAGCAGGAACCAATGTCCAACCCACAGCCCAGCACGAGGGTCCTTTGTGGGCCCTCCGGTTTTTCTGGGCCTCGCTGTATGCCCTTCGCCATTGCCTTGCCCAACCTCGGCCAGAGGCTGAGGAACAGGAGCAGGAGCAGGAGGAGGAGGAGGAGGAGGAGGAGGAGGAGGAGGAGAAGGAGGAGGGAGAGGAGGATGAGGAGGCGTAGGAGGCGAAGGGGCAGGAGGAGCAGGAGGAGGGAGGAGGATGATGATAAGAAGGAGCAGGAGGAGGACGAGGCGGAGGAGGAGGAGGGAGGAGGAGGAGGAGGAGCAGGAGGAGAAGCGTGGGCAAGACAAGGAGGAGGGAGAGAGGAGAGAGAAGGAGGAGGAGGAGGGAGGAGGAGGAGGATCAGGCAGGCAGGCAGGCGGGGCGGGGCGCCCCGCGTCCAGGAGAGCGGCACGGTGTACCTGCGCCTGGAGAGCCCCCGCGTGCCGCCGCCGCCGCGCGCCGCCCACGGGGGCGCCGACGACGGACGGTGGCGGCCGGGCGACGGCCAGCGGCGGCGGCGGCCTCGACGACGGCGGCAGGACGGGCACGGCGCGGCGGCGAGCGGCGTCGCCTGTGGAACCCGCGCGCACCGTCGCCGCCGCGCTCGCTCGGGGAGGAGGAGGAGGAGGAGGAGGAGGAGGAGGAGGAGGATCAGGAGGAGGAGGAGGAGGAGGTGGAGGAGGAGGAGGAGGAGCAGTAGGAGGAGGACGAGGAGGAGGAGGAGGCGGAGGAGGAGGAGGAGGACGAGGAGGAGGAAGACGGCCCCGCGCCGACGCGCAACTGTGCCAGTGCTCCACAGCCCGGCTGCGCGAGCCCCGAGGAGGGCGCCTCGGGCGGAGGCGTGGGCCTCGCCTCTTGCAGGTCTGCCCCGGGCCGACGGGCGGACACGGCGCGCCCTGTGCCACGCAGGGCCTGGGGGGCGGCAGCAGCGGCACGGCAGCAGCGGCCTCTCAGACTCAGGAGCAACAGAAGGACGTACACGTACAGGAATCCACGCTGGTTTCGAGAGTTCGCATTGCGCGAACGTTCGTATCACGCGGCAGGTCTCACGGGTCAAGGGGTCGTGTTCATGTACATAGCTGGGCGCATACGTCCTTTGTGGGCTCCCTATAGACGGGGTCGGAGTAGATGGGGTCGAAAGGTCGCGCCGTATCGTCGATGCATCGGCGATGCGGCTCGATGTGGAGCCCGATCTTCTCCACGTTGGGGTCGCAGATGCATCGCGCCGACGTCGCCAATGCATCGCCGATGCATCGGCGACGTATTGTTGATGTATTGGCGATGCGGCGCGATTCTCCGACCCACTCTACTCCGACCCCATGTAGGAGGCCTCTATGGACCCAAACGATGTTTTGCTGGACTTCGGCTGTGTCTTGTTCTTCGTTTTGGCAGGGGGGTGCAGGACAAAGCAGGGAGAGCCAAGCGAAACACAAGACGAAGACAACACGAACAAAAAACAACGGTTAGGTCCAGCCCTGGATGGGACCAACAGGATCTTTCAGCTTGTCGATGTAGGCTTGCCCATCGCCGGTCGGCTCTCGCAGTTCAGTGCTCCCGCTTTGCCTGGCCACCTTCTGCTTCGCACAGCGGTCGAGGCCGAGTCTGGTGGATGTTCTGTCATCGCGCTCAAACATAGGAGAACGAACAATGACATAAACCAAACAACTCTGAGATCCGCGCGGGTTTCTCGGATTGGCGCTGGACCCCCTTGTCGGCGCGCTCCGCGCGCCAGGGAGGGGCGTCCAGCGCTGATTCAAGAAATCCGCGCGGACCTTCGAGTTTTTGTTAGCGGGCGAAGAACGGTATAAAATAAATGTTTCCGTCACCAGGGGCGCTGCCCCAGGGCGGCTGGAAAGGTTCTAATTACCTTGCCGTGCCACCGCAAGGATATGAACTTTCCATCCGCCCTGGGACAGGCACCCCCGCCTGCGAAAGAGTCGGTGTCGTACCGTTCTTCGCCCGTTCATCTTCTTCTCCCCTACAAACCGAGGATCCACGGCCTGCCCATGCCCACGAGGCCTCGCTGGTGCCCCTGCAGTCGTGTGCGGGCGGCCGCGCAGCCGTGCGGGGGAGAGGCGCAGTCCCTGCCGTGGGTCTCCGCCCCCCCCCCCCCCCGCCGGGGCTCGCTGCGATTCCTGCGATTCGATTCGACTCGACTTCGATGGGTTCCGATTCCGAGTCGACTTCTGATTCCAACGCGATTCGATCCAACTTGACTTCGATTCGATTCGACTCGATTTCGATGGATTCCGATTCGGTTCGGTTTCGGATTCCGATTTGGGCTCCGACCTCTTCTCGGACGCGTGCAAGCCTACCGATGTCCGCCGATGTGGCCTTTCCCGGCTCGGCTGCCGATGTCCGCCGACCCGGACCTGCTTCGATCGCCGATCTAAGAATTCCGCGCGGACCTCAGTGTTTTTATGCTTATGTCATTGTTTGTCCCCCTGGTATAAAGGGGGTCTGATTTGGGCCCTCCTGGAGGGTTCTGGGGGCGCTGGGCAGAAGGCCACCCTGTCATGGCTGGGCTGGGAGGGATCAAGGCTTGCCTGTCTGGGAGGGTTGCGACCCCCTCCTCCTCGTATGCTTCCTTCCCCTCCTCCTCTCATCCTCCTTGTTCTCTTCCTTTTTCTTTCGCTCATGCCACTAGCTGTCCTCACCATAACCCTCCTCCCTCTCCCCTCTCGCCCTGCGTATCCTGCATGTGTTCGTTAACTCTTCGCCTTTCGTGCCGGTTCGTTTCTGGCGTTTGGATTCAAGCGTTTCGCTCCGTGCCACTTCTGGTTCTTTTGTGTACCTTTGTTGCGAAGGCCTTACGACGAAGATGAAATGGAGGGGGGGGTGCAGGGGGAGGAGGAGGAGTGGCAGGAGGAGGAGGAGGAGGAGGAGGAGGAGGAGGAAGGGGTGAAGGAGGTGGACGAGGGAGGATGAGGGGGGGGGAAGGATGAGGAGGAGGAGGAGCCTGGTGGGGGGGAGGATGAGGCAGAGGATAGCAGGAGGAGAAGAAGGAGGAGGAGGAGGAGGCGCTGTGGTTTTCGTGGCTCTTTTGGGAACAGCTTTGCATGGTTTCGGGGGGTCCGAGGGGGAAACGTATCTTGGCGGCGCTTCCCCTGAGACCCACCACGGGAACCCTCCCTGGGACTGTTCTCTTCGTGCGGGAAGAAGTCATGGGCAGGGGCTTCCGATCGACTGCACTAACGACGTTGTTCAATTTCGCTGTAGATCGCGCGGTTGAGACGACAGGCCCAGGAAAGGGGACGGGGGACGACGGAGACGGCGAGGAGACGATTGTGACGACGACGAGAAGGAGGAGGAGGAGGAGGAGGAGGAGGAGGAGGAGGAGGAGGAGGAGGAGAATGAGGAGGATGAGGAGGATGAGGAGCAGGACGACGACGACGAGACGGAGCAGGAGGAGGAGGAGGTCGAGGAGGAGCAGGAGGAGGAGGACGACGACGACGTGGCATTCGGGAATTCTGTGGTGTTTGTCGCAGGGCTACCTGGAGGACTCTTGAAGGCTTCGGCGGGGGGCTCTTGGAAGTATGTGAGATCTCGTTCTGGGTTCTTGGAGCCCTCTTCTAGTTTCCTCGGGGCCTCTTCGGGGCATGTTGGGGGAGGAGGAGGAAGAGGAGGAGGATTATCCTGCCTGAGAGAGGGATGAGGCTGAGGAGGAAGAGGACGAGGAGGAGGGGTAGGAGGAGGAGAACGAGGAGGAACAAAGAGGAAGAGGAGGAGGAGGAGGAGGAGGGACATAAGGAGGACAGCGAGAAGGACAAGGAATATGAAAAAGAGGGTGGTCAGGAGGTGGAGGATAAGCAGGAAGAAGAGGATGATGGAAACAAATAAGGAGGTTCAGGAGAAGGATGATAATGAGGGGGAGTGAGAGGAGGAGAGGAAGGCGGAGAAGGAGGAGGATGCGGAGGAGGAGGAGGAGGAGGTGTAGTAATAGAAGGAACAGGAGGAGGAAGAGGAGGGGAACATGCTGATGATGATGATGATGATGATGATGATGATGATGATGATGATGATGATGGTGATGTTGATGATGCTGCTGATGCTGATGCTGATGATGATGATGATGATGATGATGATGCTGATGCTGATGCTGATGATGATGATGATGATGATGATGATGATGATGATGCTGATGATGATAATGATGATGATGATGATGATGATGATGATGATGATGATGATGATGATGATGATGATGATGATGATGATGATGATGATGATGATGATGATGATGATGAGGATGATGATGAGGATGAGGATGAGGATGAGGATGAGGATGAGGATGAGGATGAGGATGATGATGATGATGATGATGATGATGATGATGATGATGATGATGATGATGATGATGATGATGATGATGATGATGATGATGGTGATGATGATGATGACGATGAGACGATGATGATGAGCAGGATGAGGAGGAGGAGGGACTGGAGGAGAAGGAGGGGAGGAGCCTTTTGGAGCCTTGGTGGGGGTGTTCTTGGAAAGCTCCTGGGACGTCTAGGCTTCTTGGATCGCCTTGGGGCCATCTTGGCCGTGATGGGCCGATCTTTAAGTGCACCTTTATTGTGTTGCCGTACCGTTTCAAACAAGCGGCGGTTCGCGTTTTCCGGTGCGTTTCCCATCCCTCTGGTATTACAAAATATGTATTAGGGAGTTCTAAGGGGATGCCAAGCTGGTTCAAATCTGGCTTAGCCTAGTTAATGAGGGCGTGGCAAATGCCCCATGTGGCTCAGGGGGGGATAGAGGTCTGGGCTTGGTTTCCGCCCACTTTGCGGAGTTTTCGCCCCCTCAGTTATTCAGGGCATTGGCGACCTTTTTATAGCTAGGCCAGAGTCGGCCAGATGCAACCCACTCCAGCATCCGTTGATGACCTTCCCCATCCCCTCAGCAGCCCCCGCGGTGATCCAAGTCGACCTCGAACCTCGAGGACGGAGGATCGAGAGGGGGCTCGACCTCGAACCTCGTCGTCGAACCTCGATCTCGAACCTCGAACCTCGTGGATGGAAGATCGAGCCTCGACCTTGAGCCTCGACTTGGAACCTCGCGGACGGAGGATCGGAACCTCGGCCTCGAGCCTCGACGGCTCGGTCGCGGGAGCCCCCGGCAGGAGCTGTGCAGCTGCGACCTGCTGCGGTTCGCGGGCGCCCAGCCAGGCCGCCCCGCGCCGCCTTTGTCCCGTCTGCGGGTGTCCCTTTTGTCCCTCTGTCTGTCTGTTTGTCTCTCTTTTTGATCTCTCAATCGTTCTCTGTCCTTCTATCCCTCGCTTTCTCCCTCTCTCTCCTCTCAGTCCAAGTGGAAAGGAGGAGGAGGAGGAGGAGCAGGAGGAGGTGGAGGAGGAGGAGGAGGAGGAGGAGGAGGAGGAGGAGGAGGGGGCGCAGGAGGAGGGGGAGGACGTGGCGGAGGAGGAGGAGGAGGAGGCAGTGGCCCAGGAGGAGCCCGAAGAGGTCGAGGCGGAGGAGGCGGGGGAGGCGGCGGGGCAGCCGCTGCGAGCCGATCGCCTGCCGTGGGGGCCTCCTCGGGCTCGGGGCCCCGTGGGGCCGTGAAGTGGGATGGGGGCGTCGGGATTGAGTCTGGCACGTCCCTCCAGAGGGGGAACATCCAGAAACAGTCCAGACATAGTCTGGGGACCCGTTCACTCTTGCGTGCGTTTCTTGCGTGTGTGATTCTTGCGTGTGTGGGAACTCCAGAAATAGTCCAGATGATTCTTGCGTGTGTTTCACCATTTTTCATGTTTCGTCCGAAATCCGCCGGCAGGGGGACATGTCCGACCTAACGTCGGGAACAGACCGGTGCAGCCTCATGCTGGCTGGAGCTCTGTACGCACAAGTGCAGGAATCTTGCTGTCGATCAACAGCGCCGCGGAGCTACGGAAGAGTCCATCCTCGCAGATTCCAGTCGAGTTCTTGCTCCAGTGCGTCTGCGGGACGAGGTCGCCAGAGGAAAGGCCCCAAGTATGTGTGCGCCGATTCACACCGCATAGACACTACGCGCCCACCAGCCTCAGCCAAACTCCAACTAGCTTTTCCCCACAGCCAGCATCCGGTATGTACTAATTGCCAGGCAGCCCAGTAAGCTACCAGAGGGCCCGGTGGAGAAGGGGGGGTGGATGGGGGCATCAGGGGAGGAGGATGAGGAGAGGAGGACGGAATGTGGAACAAGGAGGACACAACAGGACCAGTATGATGTTGATGCTGATGATGATGCTGATGCTGATGATGATGATGATGCTGATGATTATGATGCAAATGATGATGCTAATGCTGACGCTGCTGTTGATGAGGATTATGATAATGATGATGCTGATGCTGCTGCTGATAATGCTGCTGATGCTGATGCTGATGCTGATGATGATGGTGGTGATGATGCTGATGATGGTGCTGATGATGCTGATGCTGATGATGCTTATGATGATGATTATGATGCTGCTGCTGATCATGATACTGATACTGATGATGCTAATGATGATGCTGCTGATGCTGCTGATGCTGATGCTGATGATGATGCTGATGATGATGATGGTGGTGGTGATGATGATTGCGATGATGCTGATGCTGCTGCTGATGATGCTGCTGCTGATGATGAGGATGATGTTGATGATGATGGTGGTTTTGATGAGTATGATGATGCTAATGCTTATGATGATGATGGTGATGATGCTGATGCTGATGCTGCTGATTATGGTGCTGATGCTGATGCAAAGCATGATCATGCTGCTGATGGTGATGATGCTGATGCTGATGCTGCTGCTGATGAGGATTATGAGAATGATGATGCTGATGGTGATGATGATGCTGCTGATGCTGCTGCTGATGAGGATTATGATAATGATGATGCTGCTGGTGATGATGATGCTGCTGATGCTGCTGATTATGATGATGCTGTTGATGATCATGGTGGTAATGATGCTGATGATGGTGCAGATGATAATGATGATGATGTTGATGCTGCTGATGATGGTGCTGATGCTGATGCAAAGCATGATCATGCTGCTGATGGTGATGATGCTGATGCTCATGCTGCTGCTGCTGATGATGATTATGATAATGATGATGCTGATGGTGATGATGATGCTGCTGATGCTGCTGATTATGATGATGCTGTTGATGATGATGATGCTGATGATGCTGCTGATGCTGCTGATGCTGATGATGCTGCTGAGGATGATGATGGTGATGCTGCTGCTGATGCTGATGCTGCTGTTGATGCTGATGCTGTTGCTGCTGCTGTTGATGCTGATGCTGTCGCTGCTGCTGATGATGGTGATGGTGATGATGATGGTGATGGTGATGATGTGATGTTGATGATGATGATGATGATGATGATGATGATGATGATGATGATGATGATGATGATGATGATGATGATGATGATGATGATGATGATGATGATGATGATGATGATGATGATGATGATGATGATGATGCTGCTGCTGCTGCTGCTGATGATGATGATGATGATGATGATGATGATGATGATGATGATGATGATGATGATGTTGATGATGCTGGTTTTGATGAGAAGGAGGAGGAGGAGGAGGAGGAGGAGGAGGAGGAGAAGGAGGAGGAGGAGGTGGCAGAGGAGAAGGACGGAGGACGGAGGAATGGGGGAAGGGGGAGACGTGGGCACCGGGGAGAGGGCGGGAGGCGGCGCAGGGAGGGGGGTGCAGGACGGAGGGAGGAGGGACGAGGAGGAGGAGGAGGAGGTCGGAGGGGGAGCCGACGGCCGACGGCGGCGCGGGTGGCGACGGCGGCGGCGCCCTGCGACGAGCCTGCGCGGCGGCGGCTTCTCCCCGCGCGGGGAGGCGGCGTCCTCGCGGAGCCGGAGGCGGCCCTGTGGGGAGCGCAGCTGATGGCGGGCCTCAGGCCTGCGTGTCCGCCGCCCGAGGGTCAAGCAGTGGCGAAGCGTCCTGGCTCGCCGATAGCCCCTCCAAAGAATGTTCTAAGAGCCTTTTGTGGTTCCCAGGAACTGTTCTTAGGACAGTTCTGGCTGGGACTGTCTTGTTTTAACACATCGGGCTTATGTTCCAAGAACATTGTTTTTGTTCTTAGAACATGTTTGGGTTCTACGAACATGTCGTGGTCTGATAATAGGAATGCCGGGACGGTCGGTCCCTGCTCAACAGGGGCGACGAGATCTGTGCATAGCCAGCGCTGGTGGGCCTGTTTTCCACCACCACTACCATAATCAGTGTTCAGTCTGGCGTGTCCCCTCTACAGGAGGAGTCTTCAAAACTAGTTGTTTTTTTGAAAAAAGTTGTCGATGGACGATGTTTTGAGTATTGTTTGGTTATGTTTGACGATGTGTTGACTATGTTTTGGTCTTCCTCCAAAATCCGCCTGTAGGAGGACACGCCCGACCTAATTTTAGTTGGAGGGGGAAAGGAGGTGGAGGATGAGGAGCAGGAGGAGGAATATGACGATGATGTTGATGATGATGATGATGATGATGATGATGATGATGATGATGATGATGATGGTGATGATGGTGATGATGGTACTGATGGTGATGATGATGATGATGCTTGGCTCCAACAAAAGTTTCCTTGGAAACTCGCAACAAAAAAGAAAATGTGTGCACGCCCGTCGGCGAGGTGAATTGTCGTGCGCACATGCTCAGCACTCGCGCGCGCGAGATCCCGAGGCGTTCCCATGGCCACAAAATTGTTCCAAGGGGGCCTGAGGCCACAGGCGGTGACGTCCAGACGACCCTGGGATGACGCCGCCCCAAAACTATCCCGCCCATGGTTTCTGGACCGTCTCAGGCCGACTCGAAGATGGCCAGACGCATGAGCCACGAGTGACGCCGAGATGGCTCGATGGCAACAAGATGGGTCCACGTGCGCCCAGGGTGGCCCAAGACTGAACACGCGACGGCTGCGCGATCCAAGCATGACCGAGATATGATCTCAAGGTGACCTCAAGTCGGCCCTGACATGCCAGGCATGCTGCATCTCGGAGATCCGTGAACGACCCGTTCGGCGAGATCCCGCCCGGCCCACCGCAGAACACTACCTTGCTAGGCTTCTACGGGGGTAGGGGGGGATTCGGGCGGGGCGTCATTTACTTCCGTTGTCATCCGAAAGCTTTCTGACGGCCCTCCGCCGTCTCCCGCCTCGTTGTTCTTCCGTCGGGTTCCACGAACGAGCGATGTGACGAAAATTCAAGGAACTCTCATTGGGCCGATGATGATGGTGATTGTGATGCTGCTGATGATGATGGTGCTAATGTTGATGATGATGACGATGATAAGGAGGAGGAGAAAGAGGAGGAGGAGGAGGAAGACAAAAAGAGGAAGTGGAGGAGGAGGAGGAGGAGCGCCACTGGCCTGAAGTTGGGCAAGTCCCCCAACAGGAGGAATACTCAAACGTGAGAAAGACATCGTCTGGGGTCGATGTTGGATATTATTTTCAGATGTGTCTGAGCCGGTTTTGACTACGTGTTAGGTGTCCCCCCAAAATCCACCCGTAGGAGGACATGCCCGACCTGACATTGGTCGGGCCCACCCTGGCCCAGGCGCGGCGTCTCCTGCCGCCCTGCCCAAAGCGTGGCCAGGGCGACGCACGCGCACCGCTCCTGGGCTCCGGCATGGACCTGGCCAGCGGCGGTGGGTGCGCACACTGCGACCCGCACAGGAAGGGCGAGCGACTCTCCAAGGTCAGGGGGCCACATGCGAACCCTACCCCTACCCCCCACGGCTTCGGAGGGGGAGGGTGGGGTTCACTTCGTGCGGGAGTTCTCGAGCGAAGTGACCGTCCCCTCCCCCTCAGAAATCGTGGGGGGTAGGGGTAGGGTTCGCATGCGGTCCCCTACCAAGGTTGCCCTCCCAGATGTCCAACGCATTGAAAACAAACAGACGGCGGTCTTTCGCGATGTTCGGCTTCTATAGGGGCCCTCGCCGGGCCCCGAGACCGTGAGAAACGATCCAGGACGAAGGAGCGGTCCCGGGGAAGGGGTCGAGACTTCCGGGGACCCCGTATGGAAAACAAGTCACGGCATCGGATCTTTGGTCTTGCATCCCTCCCGTTCGGCCCATCCTCGGCCGCTTTCGCTAGCCGCGCCCCGCCCGCGTGGTGTGGACAGGGCTTTCCGAGGCCTTTCGTCCTTATCGTGCGTCCTTATTCTATGGGTGGACTGGGGCCACATTCCGTCGCCCCACACTCCTCCTTCTCTTTTCCTCTCCTAATCCTCCCCCTCCTCCTACTGCTCCTCTTCTTCCTCATCTTCCTCCTCCACCTCCTTGCTCCTCGCTCATCCTCGCTCCTGCGTCCTGATAGACCTCATCGCCCTGCGCTCCTCCCTTCCGGCGCGTCGCGAAGGCACTCACGGCCGAAGGTCGGGGGGCGACCAGACGGTGCGGGCGCCACACCGTGAGGCGGTCAGGGGTGACAGGCCGTGACCGAGCGGCTTTGGGGATTCTCCTCCTCCTTCTCCGAGGACTCGTGCGACGGGGGCATCGGAGGCCCCCAAATCGTGCGGTGACGCACCTTGCGGTGGGGCCTTGTTTCCGGATGCCGAGGTCCGCGCCCGGTCCGTCGCCGCACCGTCTCGGCCCCCTCCCCCCAGAGGGTTTTGTTGACAGGCATCGGCTTCAGGGCCCGCCCGCAGGAGGGTTTTATGGCGGTCAATGTGTCGTTTGCGAAATAAACGCCCATCTCAGGTACCGGTGGCAGCACGACAAAGCTCGCCCACCTCTCCCGCATGTCAACGTTGACGAGGAAGCCGTGCCCCCACGCAGAAGCTGGCGTTCATTTCGCAACACGTCGCGCTCCCTTTTGGCGCATTCGTTGGCCAACGTTGAGATGCGGGGCGCGGGGGCGGGGCGCCCTGGCCTGCTAACGAGTGGGCGCCTGTTTCGCAAACGGCTTTTTCCCCAGGCCGTCAAGTACACGCCTGGGACGGAGACGTCGCTCCCGGGGCGGGGAGTCCAGGCCTCTGGGCCTCCAGGGGCCCGCGTCGTGAGAGTGCCACGGCGGGCGGCGTTTGGCACGACGCCGATACCGACCGATCCGGCGCGCCAGCTGTACACCATGCCGGTCTATCGCGTCTTCCCCCCGTCCCTGTTGGACTCGGCGGCGGACGAGGGAGGGAAGTGAAAAGGAGAAGGCCTGTTCAGAAGGCGGCGGGACTCCTCCGAAGCCGTCGCGCCTTCTGAGGAGTGTTTTTTGTCTTCGGGGAAGGCTCAGAAAGCTTTTCAGAAGGCCGTGGGACTTCTGAGCCTTCTGAGAAGGCCCGCCCCTTCTCACTTCCCCCCCCGCTCGCCGCCTACGGATGTCCGAGGGCTTTTGCTTGCGATGCGTGGCCCCTCGGCTGCGGCCTGCGACCAGTTAGGTTGACACGAGTTGTTGCGTCTCGGTGGCCTGGAGGTTGGCACCAACACCAATATCGGCGGTGTAATTCCACCGAGGGATGATGATCCCGATCTCGGTGATGGTGGCGGAAGTCGGGCTGCCGAGGTGGCCGGAATATGACCACCAGCGCCGCAGTGTAGGGTCATCGTCCCAGGGTGGAGGCAACCCTTTCTGTTATGATGTTCCAACCTACTTTTAGCCTTGATCTCCAGAAAGAATCTCGAGCGCCAGAAAAATACCGAAACGCGAGGGTTTTCACGTGTCGGGCCCTGGGAGACACTCGCCCGACACTGTGTCGACACCGTTTCGACACTCTTTCGGCACTTGTCCTGGGTGTTCGAGTTTTTTTTTCTGGGATGTGGCCCTCCAGTGCGATGGGAGCAGCATATCACCCCTGTGTTGGTGTTGGTGCCCAGTCCCAGGCCTCCGGGCCTCCGCCTTGCGCGCCCCGTGGGCCGTCGCTCCTCGTGCGCGTTCGGGCCCGGCCTGGGCCCGTGGTCGGTGGATTTTCGTTTCCCTGGTCAGGGCCGGGAGGGCGCAGGGTCGGCGCAGCTTCCAGCGGGCGACCGCCGATGGTGCCCTGCAGGATCGGGGTCCGAGGCGCTGGCGGGCTCCTGATGATGTCCTGTGCTCCTGGGGCATCCTGGGAGACTCCTCTTCCTTCGCCTCCTCCTCCTCCTCCTTCGTCTCCTCCTCCTCCTCCTCCTCCTCCTCCTCCTTCGCATCTTCCTCCTCCTCCTCCTCCTCCTTCGCCTCCTCCTCCTCCTGCTCCTCCTGCTCCTGCTCCAAATACTCCTCCTCCACACATTCCTCGGGCATCTCGGGGGACTTCAGACCACGAGGTCTCCTCCTCCTCCTCCTTCTCCTCCTCCTTCGCGCTCCAGGTGACCGCTGGTTTCTCATCGGCGACCGCCGACTCCAGCAGGATCGAGGTCCGAGGCACCCGCGGGCTCCCGAGGGTATCCGGATTCTCCCGGCATCCCGGGGGACGTCAGGCCACGAGGCCTCCTCCTTCGCGCTCCGCATGGCCGCACGTTGGTCCTCGGAGCCTTCGGTCTGCTCTGGCAGAAGACGTCGTTGGGGGTGTGCTTCGTTGCCCTCTTCCTCCCCGCCTCGTTTCCTGACTTTTCTTCCCCTCGCACCGGGGTCCATTCCGATCTGGTCGATGTCGATCTCGGCCTCGACGACGACGACGCCGACGGCGATGGCGACGGCGACGTCGACGACGACGACGACGACGACGACGACGACGACGACGGCGACGACGACGACGACGACGACGACGACGACGACGACGACGACGGGGACGACGCGCCAGGGACATCCATGCGCTCGGCGTGCTGCACCGGGATGTGAAGCCCGAGAACCTGCTGCTGACGCCTGGCGGCACCCTGAAGGCCCCCACGTGCCCCCGCGGGGAGACAGGGCTCGCAGCACCTCCTCCTCCTCCTCCTCCTCCTCCTCCTCCTCCTCCTCCTCCTCCTCCTCCCCACTCCTCCTCCTCCTTCCTCCTCTCCTCCTCCTCCTCCTCCTCCCTCCTCCTCCTCCTCCTCCTCCCTCCTCCCTCCCCTCCCCTCCTCCTTCCTCCTCCCCCTCCTCCTCCTTCCTCCTCCTCCTCCTCCTCCTCCCCTCCTTCCTCCCTCCTCCTCCTCCTCCTCCTCTCCTCCTCCTCCCCTCCTCCTCCTCCTTCCTCCCCTCCTCCTCCTCCTCCTCCTCCTCCTTCTCCTTCTCCTCCTCCCTCCTCCTCCTCCTTCCCTCCTCCTCCCTCCCTCCGTCCCTCCCTGCCTCCCTGCTCCTCCTCTTCCTCCTCCTCTTCCTCCTCCTCCTCCTCCTGCTCCTCCTCCCTCCTCCCTCCCCCAAGGCCCGGTACCGGACGCCAGGGGAGGAGCGAAAGCCTAAAGTCGGGGGCGGCCAAGAGGCGTGAAGATGTTGCAGGCCATGCCGGCGGCGACGCCCGCAGCTTTCCAGGGCTCGTTATCGATTCCCCCGATTCGATTCGAATTCGATGGCCTCCGATTCCGATTCGATTCGACTTCGGGTCCCGATTTGGGCTCCGACATCTCGACGGAGGTCTACCGGCCTGCCGATCTCCGCCGCTTCGATGCCTCCCGACTTGGCTGCCGATTTCCGCCGATCCGATTCACTTCGATCGCCGATCCGACTCGTCGATTCGATGCTGGGCTCTCCTGTCTTTCTGCCTCTAACCTCACTACGCGCTGCCCTCGATGCGCACGCGTCTCTGGGGGGGGCATCCCGACCCCTAGTGGGGGGGCTCTGTCCCCCATGGGGTGGGCACATGCAGATAGGCTCTCAGGCACACTCATCCCTTCCACAAGAGGGGGTTGATGGTCAGGGGGGGGGATATTCTGGCGGGGGCCATGATACCTCCCCAGATGTCATGGCGCCTCTTCTTGTTTCATTACGTCCCCAGCCCCCCCTTGGGCCGCGCACGTGCCGCTGGCCATGATTTGCGCTCCCCCCTCTTGGACGCCCCCGTCTTGGGCGCTCCGGGTAGAGTATGGTACCAACACCAGGATCGACGGTTGCCTCCACCGAGGGAAGATGCTCTTGATCTCCTGATCTCGGCGACGGAAGTATTACTGGGGCTCCTGAGGTGGCCCAGAGATGACCCCCCCCACCAGAATCCAGGATCTTCTTCCACTGGTGGAGGCAACCCCTTTGCTGTTGTTCCAGGCCCCCAAGAGGTGACACATGGGTGGCGAGGGCAACCACAGCGACGACAGGGGAGAGAACAGGGCGGATGAGGCCACTTCCGCGGGCACTGCGGTCCTGGGGGGCAGCAGCGTCCACTGGAGGGCCGTGCCGCATCCCTATACTGATTCGATCCGGTCCGACCCTATCGGTCCGAGTCTTCTGATGTCCTTGTCTGTTCGTGGAGGCTTGCCCGCTTCCAGGCGCGGTCTGGCAGCTGCGCCTCGCCGATCCGAAAGCCGAGCGCGAGCATGGACTGAGGCGCGTGGATTAGCGACGGGTCCCGCCGCTTCCATACAGAATCGACGCTTTCCGTCGCCACAGTAGGCAGCTCCAGCTTCATATTTCGGGGAGTAGGTTCCCCGATTCGTGGTTCTGGCGCCCACATGCCAAATCCACGGATCCGTAATCCATGTTCGCGTGTGCGCGACTCTCCGGGGAGACGAAAGACTCGAGCTTGTCGCGTCTCGAGTTTGCCTTCGCTTTTGGCCGTCCTGGCACGAACGTTGACGGTCCAGTTGTGCGTCAAGCTCCAGGTTTTGTCCAGATTTTTTTGACCAGCAGTAAACTTATCCCTACCTCAAGGTTGGTTTCCCCATCAGTTTCTGAGGGCACATCCCTGAGATGTCATCGCCTTGGGGTTGGCAATCTTAGGGAGAGGATTAGTCCAGCACAGTACAATACAGTACAGTACAGAAACCATACGCCGGTACGGCGCGTCGGCAGATGGATTCCTTTGAACCCGTAAAGACACGAGATGGATTTGTGTCAGCAATTTCGCATGGAAATCGAGTGCGCTGGGAACTGCAACAAGAGGAGTAGGAGAAGCAAATAAGCAACTTATACCTGCTGATCTTGCAAGAAGAGGAAGAGGAGGTGGAGGAGAAGGAGGAGGAGGAGGGATCAGCTCGAGGCTGGTTAGTTATGTCCCGACGGTTCCGTCTGGCCAGTTCGAGTCCTTCCCAAATTTGAGTCCTTCGCCTTGGGCTTGACGATTTCGGAGGAGAGGGATCAGTGCGAGGCTGGTCAATTTTGTTCGATGGTTCCGCCAGGTGCACCTTCGTGCCCCGCTTGGCGCTTGGGCACAAGAGGTGCACCTCCTCCTCCTCCTCCTCCTCTTTCTCCTCCTCGTCCTCCTCGTCCTCCTCCTCCTCCTCTTCCTCCTTCTCCTCCTCTTTCTCCTCCTCCTCCTCGTCCTCCTCCTCCTCGTCCTCCTCCTCCTCCTCCTCCTCCTCCTCCTCCTCCTCCTCTTCCTCCCTCAAAACTTGAGTCCTGCGTCTCCCCGATTCTCCGCGCGCGCCGCCAGGGGCTCCTCCCGCGGACGCCGTCGCCGCTGCCGCCCCCCGCTCTCGAGAGCTGCTGCCCCCGCAGGTGGCCGACTTCGGCTGGTGCGCCTACATCAGGGACTCGCCCTGCACTCTGGCAGGCGCGCTGGGGTCAGGGGCAACGATGGGGGGGGGATGGGCATTGGGGGGGATGCATCGACACGCAATCGCCCACTGATCGCCGATGGGGGCCCGATAGCCCCAACCTGCCCAGCAAGGTGCGGATTCACTCTCAGGGGCCTACCGCCGATCTATTGGCGATGCTTCGCCGATTCCAGGTCCATGCACCCCCCCTATGCCAGTCCCCCCAATCGTTGCCCCCCAAAAGAAAAACAACTGCATAAACGTACACTTGTGGCGCTCCGCGCGGATTTCTTGGATCCGCGCTGGGCCGGGCCCCCCTCTTGGGCGTTTTGGGGTGGTCTTGGGGGCCTGTTGGGCGGTCTTGGAGCGTTGGAAAGCCGAACAGGCGAGAACGCCGAACTTCAAAGATCTGCGGGAGATCAATGATGTGTGCCTCTTGGGGCCCTCTTGGGAGGCCTCTTGGAGGCCTCTGGAGGCGTCTTGGAGGCCTCTTGGGCCATCTTGAGGCCATCTGAGGCGTCTTGGAACGATCCTTCGGCGACTCGGGGCCCTCTCGGACCGTCTTGGGGGCCTCGTGAGGCCTTCTTGGCCAGAGGGCACGCGACAAGCCCTGCCAAAGTTGGCAATCCGGGGCCCGGGCCCCTCAGGAGCTCCCTAGGAATGAGGACTGAGGCTCAGAGGATGAGGCAAATTGCTTGAGGACTCGGACACGCCCACTCCGTGCCCAGAGGCACGGTGGCGGACACGGTATACTCATCTCGTCGAATAATGCACGTTTGCGCACGCAAGCAATTTCGGAGGTATGCGAGGATTTCTTGGATCGGTGTTGGACCCCTCTGACTGCGCCTCCGCGCCAATGCAGAGGGGTCAGGGTCCAGCGCCCATCCAAGACATTCGCGAGGACCTCTAGAAGTCCATGTGTACACCGATGCTTCTTGTTCTATCTTCACTCCAAGGAGGACGTTGAGAAGGAGAAGGAGGAGGAGGAGGGGGAGGGGGAGTGGGAGGAGGAGGGGAGGGGGAGGGGAGGAGGAGGGGAGGGTGAGGAGAGGAGGAGGAGGAGGAGGAGGAGGAGGAGGAGGAGGAGGAGGAGGAGATTGATGGGAGAGGAGGAGGAGGAGGAGGAGGAGGAGGAGAGGATGATGATGATGATGATGATGATGCTGATGATGATGATGATGATGATGATGATGATGATGATGATGATGATGATGCTGATGATGCTGATGATGATGATGATGATGATGATGATGATGATGATGATGATGATGCTGATGATGATGATGATGATGATCTGCTGCTGCTGCTGCTGCTGATGATGATCATGATGATGCTGATGATGATGATGATGATGCTGCTGCTGAGGAGGAGGAGGAGGAGGAGGAGGAGGAGGAGGAGGAGGAGGGAAGAGGAGGAGGAGGAGCGGACCCCTCCTCTCCCCCCCTGCGCGAGGCACGTTCCAGTACATGGCCCCAGAGATCCTAGAGCAGCGGGCCGTGCAGACGGAGGCCGTGGACGTGTGGAGCCCGCCCCCTGCCCTGGGGAGGGGAGGAGGGACGAGGAGTAGGGACGAGGGAGTCTTGGCGGCGAGCCCCCTCTGTTCCTTCGGACCTCCCGGACCCACTTGGACAAAAAGGAGGGGCTCCGTTCCTCATGTTTGTCGTTCCTTAGGTCAGGCCGACTACGGTGCTTCTCGACGCCTTCCTGCTTTCTGTCTCTACCCACTTCTGCTGCCTCTTTGCCGTGCCTTTGGTTTGCACGCCGTTCTGCTGCCTCTTTGGCGGCAAGCCCCCCTGGTGTTCCTTCGGACCTAGCGGACCCACTTGGACGAAAGGAGGGTCTCCGTGCCTCACGTTTGTCGTTCCTCGGGTCAGGCCGACTGCTGTGCTTCTCGGCGCCTTCCTGCTTTCTGTCTCTGCCCACTTCTTCCGACCGATGGGTGCTCGCAGCCCTCCTCCGCGCGGCGCGCTGCGCGGGGGGCGGCCCCAGGCAGGCCGCCGCGCTGGTGAGGCCGCCGCGCCCTCGTGCGCAGGGCTCCTCTTTTGGCGCTGACCTGGAGCGCTGCGCCAGCTCGGGGCGCAGCGTCGGCGGGGGGGGAGGATTAGGATATCAAGCAGTGGCGAAGCGTCCTGGCTCGCCTATAGCCCTACCAAGCAATGTTCTAAGAACCTTTCGTGGTTTTCGCGAAGTGGTCTTAGAACCTTTCTGGCTGGGACTGTCTTGTTCTAACACATCGGGTTTATGTTCTAAGAACATTGTTTTTGTTATTAGAATATTTTTAAGTTCTAAGAACATGTCGTGGTAGGACCATAGAAATGCCGGGACGGTCTGTCCCTGCTCAAGGATAGGCTTAAGTCGGGCATGTCCCTCTCCAGGGGGAATCCAGAAGAAATGGTCCCAAAAGCAGTCTGGGGACGCTGTTTCGACTATTGTTAAACCGTTTCGGTGTCTTTTGGGATTATTTCTTGATTTTCTGTCCCACATCCGCCTGTAGGAGGACACGCCTGAGTGGGCCTCGGAAACGGCAGGGCCGTTTTTTCACCGTGTCCGAGCAAGTGTCTCTTGCAAGTGGAAGCGGCACAAACACGGCGACCGGAAACGACAAGAAACGGCTCCAGGATTGGCACCGGAGCCGGAGCCGGTAACACAACGGCGACGGAACCGGTATAGAAAGAACATCGGCGTCGGAACGGGCAACAGAAGCGGCCAAACAGAGCCGGTCCAAGAAAGCGGCCGTGCCGTTGCCAGGGCCCCTTCATTTCGACTAGACGTAAGAGTGACCTTTCGCCGGAGTGACCTTTGGTGCGAGCACAGGTGGGCCCTCGGACGGCCGGAAGCAGAGCGGTCAGCAGCGGCCGGCGCGCCGAGGTTTGGTCTCCCCGAGGCCCCCAAGAATCTAGCCGATCCCTGGGGGGGGGTGGGGGGCATCGGCCCCACCCGCGAGGCATCGACCGCCAGTCGCCCCGCGGCTCGCCGGCATCGGCCCGATTGCGCCCTTTTCCGCCCGGGAGCGCGCGGCTCTGCCACGAATCTCAGGGGGGGGGAGCAAACACACCCAGGCACAAGTCATCGTCGATCCCCAGGAAGAGATGTGGAAAAGTACGGGAAGTGTGGGGGGGAGGCGAAGACCCAGAAAGTATGGGAAAATGTTTGGAATCCTGTTGTGTCTGTGTGTGTATTGCTTTGTGTGTCCCAGGGCCCCTTCAGTATCGCGGGCCTGTCGCCGACCTGTCGGCGCTGCACCGCCGCTGCCAGGTCGACGTCTCCCCTCGGAGCCAGTCCTCCCCTCCGTGGGCCCTGGAAGCGGCAGGGCCGCGCTTGTTACAGCGGCTCCGTTCTGCCATGGTTTTGCCGGCCCCGACGCCGTGCTGTTGACCAGTTCCGTCGCCGTTGTGGCTACCGATTCCGGCTCCAGTTCCATCGACTAGACGTAAGAGTGACCTTTCGCCAGAGTGACCTTTGGTGCGGGTCCACTGGGGTCCTCCGATCGCCGAGCGCGATGCGATAGTAGCGTCGTCTTGCGCGCTTGGGCTTGTCCCCCCCGCGGTGCCCCCAAAGCCGCGCACCAAAGGCCTTTCGTACCTAGGGTCACTCCTGCGTGTAGTCGATGGATTCCAATCCTGGAGCCGTCTTGTTTGCCGTGTCCTGTCGCCGTTTTTGTTGCCGTTTCTTGTTTCAAGAGGCACTTTTTCCGGAAGCGGCGAAACAACGGCCCCGCCGTGTCTGGGGCCCGGCAAGTACCCTTGTCGTTCCCCCTCGCGTTTCGGGTGCACGGCGCCAGGAGCGCGGGGGTGACCCTCCACCAGCTGCTGACCGGGCGACGACCCCTCCCGCGCGCCGCGCGCTCCTCTCATCGGCAGCTGGCTGTTGCTCCACAGCGCCGTGGAGCGTGCGCTCCGCTCCTCCGGCGGCGGGCGCAGGGGGGAAGGGAGAGGGGCCCGGCTCGTCCTCGTCCTCGTCCTCGTCCTCCTCCTTCTCCTCCTCCTCCTTCTCCTTCTCCTCCTCCATCTCCTCCTCCTCCATCTTCTCCTCCTCCTCCCCCTCCCCCTCCCCCTCCTCCTGCTCCTCCTAGTCCTCCTCCTCCGCCTCCGCCTCCGCCTCCGCCTCCTCTTGGTCCGGCCTCCTAAGAATGCGGGGGGCGTGTTAGATTCAAGTATGCCTTCCCAGAAGGCTGTATCCCTCTTCTTTCCCAACGGGTGAGGCGCCACCTGGAGAGCACGTGCACCTCATGTCGTCGATGCTCTCTTGTCGCGTGCAGGAATGCCTTCCTACCTTATGACCCTACGGTGGTTTCTCTAATGGTATCGCCTCTGTGGTACGTCGATCGTAGGCGTCTAGCTTTGACGTTAAACATCGCTGGCTATCAACGTGTCAGTTGTGGCTCACGTTTGACCTGTATCATGCAGCGCAGAGCAGCGCACGTTTTTTGACGTAAGCGAGAGGCATGATGTGTATGTGGAGGAAATGACGGATGATAATTATTTTGTTTGTTTGTGATGGTGGTGATGATGATTCGGATGATGATGTTGATGATGATGATTTGGATGCTGCTGATGATGATGGTGATGATGCAGTCGATGATGATGATGATGCTGATGATGCTGATGAGGCTACTGATGATGATGATGATGAGGATGATGAGGATGATGATGATGAGGGCGATGATGATGATACTGATGGTGCTGTTGACGTGTTTGATGCTGATGATGCTGGTAATGAGGATGATGATGCTGAGGATGAGGATGAGGATGAGGAGCGTGAAGATAAGGATGATGAGGATGAGGAGGATGATGCTGATGCTGAGGATTAGTATGAGTATGAGGATGCGGATGATGATGAGGATGAGGATGAGTATGATGATGTTGGTGCTGCTGATGATAATGATGATGATGATGCTGATGATGTCGATGCTGCTGATGGTTATGATGACGACGAGGGATGATGCTGAGGATGATGCTGGTGCTGATGATGATGATACTCATGACGATGTTCATGCTGTTGTTGTTGATGCTGGTGATGTTGCTAGGGATGCTAATGGATGAGGATGATGATGCTGCTGATGATGATGATGATGCGGATGATGATGATGCTGATGATGATGATGATGATGGTGGTGATTGTGCTGATGATGGAAGTGATGCTGATGTTGATGTTGATGGTGCTGCTGGTGATGATGATAATGCGCATGATGATGATGATGATGATGATGATGATGATGATGATGATGACGACGACGACGACGACGAGGAATATGTTGAGAAGCTGACGAATAGGTGTCAGTCAGTGTAGGAGCTGGACTGGCACTGCGATTGCGAGCGTGAATGGGAGCGGGAGTGGCAGCGGCGGCGGTACCATTGGAGGCTGGTGACGGCAGATGCCACGCGTCAGTGTGTCTTTTTTTACGGAAGACGCCCATTCCGAGTCACGGCTGCGCCCCGCTTTGTAGAGACGCCCGTGTCGTGAAATATCCAGCCAAGGGCGGTCACGTTGGTGCTTCGCGTGTCCCCCCCGGCCGTTGGGGTTCACTGCTCGAGCTACACGATGTTTTGGCAATTTCGTGGATCGTTTTCGCTTTGAAGTCGTTTTGCGGCAAAGGTGGAACGAAGACAGAACGAGGGATCACGAGCACAGAGCGAAAACGGCAAACGCTGTTGAGCTCGAGCCGGGGGGGATACCACTGGGGGGAACATTGGGGCGGGGCCGCCGTGGTGTTGCCCCAGTGTGTTCGGCCTTCTGCCTTCTTGGGGGCCTCTGGGGCCCCTCTTTGGCCATCCTGGGGCTTTCTTTGAGTCGGGCATGTCCCCCGACAGGAGGAGGATTCAAGAGTAGTGACAAACATAGCCTGGTGACGAGAACCGTGCTCTCTTTGAACCACGTTTGAAGAGTTTTTGGCTGTTCTGCATGGTTTCTCCAAAATCCGCCTGTAGGCTTATGCTACTCCCATCGTACTTAAGGACCGCATCCCAGAAATAATTTCGAGCACCCGGAAAAGTGTCGAAACAGTGTCAAAAGACTGTCGAAACAGTGTCGGACGAGTGTCTCCCAGGGCCCGACACGCGAAAGCCCTGGAGTTTCGGTATTTTATTGGGTGCTCGAAATTCTCTCTGGTGATCGAGGCGGACGTAGGTTGGAGCATCATAGCTGCAGGAGGACATGCCCGACTGGGGCTGGACCAAAACGGTTGTTTTTTTGGCGATTTCGTGGGCCGTTTTCGTTTCGATGTCGTTTTGTGGTAGAGGTGGATAGAAGACAAATCAGCGGCGCCGTAACGGGTACTCACTAACGGGTACTTTGCAAAATTGCCGAAAGTTGCCACTTTAGGGCCTCTTTCTGGCATTGCAGCGTTGCCCACATCGGGGAGGATTGGGTTCGCTGGGCCACTGGCCAAAGTACCCGTTAGCGGAGTCCCCGTTAGAAGGGCGTTGAACAAAACGAGGGAAAACGAACACAACACGAAAACGAACAGCACCGTTTAGGTTCCGCCCTGTGCCCGACCACGGGCTCTCCTTGGCAGTCTCGGGG